GTACTTAAACCTCCGGCAACAAATGTACAGAAACGATTTACAGTTCCAAGATTTGCATCCAAAGACGATTCAAGAAGAAGGGCTGTACCAGTTTATTGTGCTTCTAATGAAGAATCTGAGATGGTGAGGTTTACTTTAAAGTCTTTTTAGGGGCATTTTTTAACCGAAGTGCTTACTAGATAAATATTAAAAGCGCTGTGGTTTTGTTCTGTTATGCTTAGTGATTAAATTAAACATAGTTTACCAACCAAACAAAACCAACGGGCTTTGGACTCGTTTAGACAACTTTTCCCGTACTTGGCATAAAATGACCCGTGTACAATGTAAATCGTTCGATTGGTTTACAAATACTTGCGCCACTTTCTCAAACAATTGAGATTGAAGTCAAGTAACACCGCTGCAAACCTCGCTATAGTAACAGTTATTTCCCGCCCTTAAGAACCAGTCGGTATGCGGTTTGTAATTGGGTTGAAAGTCAGAAATATTTGGTACTCTTTCTGCTCTGGCAATCTGTATCAGAAGTGAAGTCGTGAGGTCAGCACACGTGTTTTCCCGCGTTTGGTTTACTTTAACGGTTTTTTCGCGTATTTTTAGCCCCAAAGAAGAACTGTGTCGAGAAAAATCAACCAGGAGCAGTTGAAGATCGATCGCAAGTTAGCCTGGGAGCGGGTGAATGAGCTGCTGGGTGGCAGTGATGATGATGATGATGATGAAAGTAAAGTGAAAGATAAAGAGAAACCAGGTAAAAAGACTCTAACGATGCATTTTTTTTTTGTCTTGGCGAATAATCACAACTCTTGAAAACGCTCTAATAAGCCCCATCTATTAAGCCCCTCCTTTTAATAAACTCCCCTCTACCTTTGAAACCCTTGGGCATTGACAAGTCCCCCCCCCTCCTCCGTGAGGGCTTCTCACAGAGGTTACTGCAAAGCTGGAGACTGTTTCTTTAAAAGGGATTAGAACGAGTATGGATGGATACAAACGTCTCAGTGAAGTGTTTTCAATAACCAGATTTTCTTTTTAAAGAACAGCATAACCTAGCTATTCCCATTTTAAAGCGAGACTGTACATGGAAACCATGGTGTCTTCTCCACTTCCACCGTTAACGTACGAGTTATTTTGCTTCTCACAAGTCACACACATGACTCGCCCCTTTGTCACCAACACCCTGTGTGTGACGAGGTGTCGATCGCTGGTTTTCCCTCGTTAAATGACAAATTTCTTCTCCACTCCTTACACGAGAAACTTAACGACCTCTCCCGTTGACTGTCGACTCAAGATAGTGCTCCTTCTTTTCTTTAAACGAAAATTCCGCAAAAGTAAGTGGAATAAATGCCATGAGATAGGATTCTCGTTTATGTTCTTTTGTCAGATACGACAACGGTTTCTTCAGCTGCGGCTACTTCGACCTCAGCTTCGTTATTCAAGGTCCCTACTGCAGGTGTTGTGACAAGCAGAGGGACAATAACTACCACTACTGCCCAGAGCCTTATCGCCCCAACCCTTGGTTTGGGAGATCCTCGAAGGACCACAAGTGATCAGCAGGTCCCTTCATCAAGTGTTTCTAGTTCCAATCCCGTAATGCACGGCAGTGGCACTGCTACGCAATCCCAAAGTTCTACTTTGCGTGCGTTACTATCCCAACAGCGACCAGGAGTTGATTTGGGTTCTAAACCGTCAGGTACACCTGGGCTGTCTACGGCGTTGACAGGTGAAGGAATAAAAATTCCTACTTCACAACAGGGAAAGGCTGCTCCCACAAGCTCATCAATTGCTCCTGTCCAGTCACAAGCAAACCCAGCGCAAAGTTTGACTGTTACAACAGGACCAGTTTCCTCAGGTTTCCAGCTTTCTTCATTTTCCTCATTTGGGGCGTCGCCCTTCGCTAAGCCGGCAACAACTAACCCACCAACTTTGAACACAAATATTACTTCTTCCCAAAAAGCTGGGTTTAGTTTCTCCACAGTTTCTTCGTCGAGCGTATCTGGGATGCCGCCGTCCAACGCTTCAACCAATGGGCAAGCAGGGTTCAATTTTTCAGCTTCAAATAGTACAAAGATTGTCTTTGGTGAGAAGTCAACACAAAATACTCAGGTTACGACCTCTGTGAATTCTTCAAGTACTTTCTTTTTAGGACAAAATACTTCCCAAACTTCTGGGTCGTTGGCAAGTGGCAATGTAGCTGCTTCACTGCAAAGTCCGTTTGGAAAACGAACCGAAACTACGCAAAATAGCTCTACTCTAACTGCGATTCCATCGACAAATGTATTTGGGCAGAGTGCCACGGCGCCTCAGAATTCCCTTGCATCAACAACCCAAAACAAAGGCACTTTTGGTGTAAGTAACATGCAACCTGTAACAGGAAAACAAGGTCAAACTTCGTTTGGTTCTGCCTTCGGTGTTAATGGCTTTGGGGCCAAGCCTTCACAAAACACTCCTCAAGCTTCAGGTTTCACACAAAGTCCGTTTACCCAGAACACATTTGGCCAGAATGCTTCCCAGAGTGCGTTTGGAGCGAATCCTAGCCATGGTGCCTTTGGAGTGCAACAGCAAAACCAGCCAGCTTCTTCAAATACGTTTGGAGCGCAAAACGCGAACAGTTCTCTAAACGCAAGTCAAAAGACTCCTCAAAGTGGTTTGGGTGCTCAGCATTTGCAAAATACTTTTGGTTCACAGCAGAAAACAACACAAAATATTTTCGGAAACCAGGCGAATCAAAATGTATTTGGACCGAATCCAAATCAAAGTAGTACCCAAAATGCTTTTGGTACCCAATCGACACAGTTTAACTTTGGAACTCAGCCAAACCAAAAAACTACCCAAGGTGCTTTTGGACAAGCTCCTAGCCAGAAATCATCTCCGTTCGCTTTTGCTGCAAATACGTCGCAAAACGCTTCCAAGTCCCCTTTCAATGGGTTTGGAAACAGTGCCGGTGCCCAGAACACCTTTGGAGCAGCGCCTTCCCAGAATGCTGCGGCTTCTAGTGGATTTAGTTTCAATGCAAATGCGACGGCAAATAACCCAACACCCGGGGGTTTTAATTTCAGTGGCGCTGCGAACAAAACAGGAGGATTTCAATTTGGTAAGATCTGGGAATAGTGAAAAATTTAATCAATGCTAATATGTGAGCAAATGCGTTGCTACCCCTCCCCTAACCCAAAATAATCAGCTGATAACAAGTTAGGGTTATTGTTGTGTTAGGGGAGGGGCAGGTGCGCAGTTTCTCATTCAGAGAATGATTGTGCTTTTGTTAGTTAGTTTCCTCTATTCCTTATTTTCTTTTTTTTTAAGCGAAACTCTGTCAAAAGTTGGCATGGTTTTAAAGACGTTTCCTTTCATTGTCTGGTCACCATGCCAGGCTTGTCATCTGCTCTTAAACCTTCTCTTCGTCTTCTGAATTTCGATAACTTCGAATGCAGTTTCACTTACCCTGTTTCACTGAATTTTCATTGCCTTTTTTTTTCCCAGGCTCTTCAGCGAGTAACAGTAGCTTCGGGCAGTTTGGCCAAGCAACAGCTCCACCTGCGGGTAAGTATATCAGGACTTCCGAGGTTCCCACCCTTTGATTTTTCACAGCCGGCAGAGCCCCAGATGAAGCTACGGGGGTTTGGGGAAAAGTACCTTACCCCCCTCCCCCTCCCCCTCCCCCTCCCCCTCACCCTCACCCTCCCCCTCCCCCTCCCCCTCCCCCTCATCCTCACCCTCCCCCTCCCCCTCCCCACTTCAGTTCATGCCAGTAATTTCCTCCCCCTTGATTGCATGGAGAAAGGAGTTTTATATTAAGTAGTAGAAAGTCGCATTGTAATTTTAACCTCTAATTTTCTGAGCTCCATTAAAATTCGCAGTCGTGTAGAAATCTATTGTAATTTTTTCACCATCCTTTTTTTTTCATAGCTGTGCCCGCGACACCTGCGCCCAGTGGGGGTTTCAACTTCGCCCCAGGTGGTGCGTCGGGAAGTCGTTTTGCCGCACCCACACCTGCACCAGCATTTGGGGCGCCAAGCACTCCGCAAGGGGCAGGCAGCAACCTGACGGCAAGATCAAGGGCTCGCACAGCGGCCCGGAGAAGGGGGAAGAAATAACCGCTCGCGGAAAATTGAAAAATTGGCGCTGAAGAGATGATTATGAATACATGGGCATTAAGGCTCACTGTACACGTTTCGAAGGTGAGAGTGATTCACTGAAATGGTCGGAAAGTCATAACTTAATGCTGCTTTCCTGAAAAAGAAGGATGTTACCGTGCTTCTCAGGTTAATTGGAGGGTGTAGAGTTTGCGTATCACAATCAGGGTGAATCCACTGGGAGAAGAACTGGAATCTATGAAAGTGGTAACGAACGACTTTGCAAGCGTTACGTTTTGCTGTTAAACATACCATAATCCATTTTTCGTGGCGACGCTGGCTGTTGTAAAGAAAAGCGACTCGCAAATGGCATATAGAATCTCTCTTTTTTAATTGGACGAAAGAAACTCGGCCATATTGATTTACCCAATGATAGATGTATATAGCGATTGCAGAAGTAGTGCTAGCTGTTCAAATTGATATTTTGGATTAATAAATGAATTTTTACTTGCATTTTTTCCTTTTGTTCCTTTAAAATCACGTAGTTGTCTAGTTCGAATAAGATTTACCATAAACACGTATCTGTGTATGCAGAAATAAAATTTAAATGTAGGTAAATCAAGTGTGCATCCTCATTCACTTTGCTCTGACGCAGGGCTAACACTGGAAACTTCAGCTCTATAACCTACTACGGTGCCCAAGATACATTATAAACTCAGTTGATAATAGCTATTTTCCCGCCTTGCTCCAACTGGATGTTTTGAATAGTCTCGTTCTTATAATACAGCTTGCCTGTTCTAGAGGTTCAGTATAGAAAAACCAAGCGCCTTAGAAGCGGAAGAGGGCTACTATTGCGCCGTTTATTATTTCGCTTCGTTTTACCAATTGAACACACGGAGCAGGCTGTATTACAGCAATTGATTGAAAAGCACCCAAAGGTAATCGGTAGCAGTGCGAAAGTTTATTTCACTTATATTTTCAACTTTTTTTCCGTTTGAATTCAATTGTAACTCCTCAGTGTTTTGGTTCATCTTTACTTTTCCCAGCCTCTTTGTTTTCCTCGTCTTTGATTTCTTGTTTGGGAGCGTCGACGTCATCTTCAATCAACTCATACAATTCCTCTTTGAAGGTGAATACCACTGAGGATAGAAAGGAATCATGTAAACTGAAGGTTAGGTGACAAGGACTTGAGAAGTTTTGGATAACTCTCACACTCGCATCGGTCTAACAATCAGGGTAATTTAGCAAAAGTCTTTCACAGATTGCGGCCATTTTTTCTAGGTAGCCGCTATCTTAAATACTGGCCGAGAAAGTTCCGGGGACGAGTTTAAAGAGTAGCCTCACAACAACTCATATCTCTGGATTGGCCATTGGCAAGGAAAATCAGTAAAGGATGAAATTTCAATTTTTGTGAAACTGTTGAATAAATTTAAAATTTTAATGGATAGTTTACCCCAATAGTTCTCTCCGGCAAGTGTCGCTGATAATTTTTCTGTGTTTGTTCCGCTGGCTTGAGGGGAATTAACAGCAACACATATATAGTTGCGAATGTCTGCTACAATCCAAGTTTTATAAAAATCAACACCCAATACTTACTGACAATGACCCTTAAAACTCTCCACAACCGAAGAACTATGATGAAAGCAAAGCCTTTCCATGCCTTCTTTGCACGGATGACGCTGAAGAAAAAAACAACAAACATCGAAAAATAAAATGATTAAAGAACGAATGAATTAACGAAGAAGGGAACAGGCCCTTCAAATTTCACAGAAAAGATTGGAAGGAGAAAAGTGAACGAGAAAAAATTGTATATTTGAACAATACTGTTGATCACAGATCAACCAAAATTTTGGTTAAATTCCGGATTTAAACAGCTTTCACTCAAAAGCAATTATTTTGCACTATGGAGAATTTCACGTTGACGGGGTTCCGGATTAGAATGAAACTTGTGTAGGAACGGCGGGTCAAAGCCCCCTCCCCCCTCCTTCCCCCTCTCCTTCGAAAAGAAAAAGATTGTGCAGATCAAAGTTATTCACTCCTTCGAGGAGAATGGACGCTGGACAGATTCACTTATTAAACATACCGCACACAGGATTTGAATACTCCTATTTGCACACACTCACCTTAACACTATTTCGATTACAAACGCCGATACCACGATAAATGCATCAAATAACTGTAGACAAGAAAATGAGGTTTCTGGTTAAATCACTAAAGATAACAGCTTTTGTTGAGGTCTAAACACAGTAGGTGTTAAAGGGATTTTCTCACCTCCAGTTTCTCTATCATAAAGTACTCGCATCCCATTGCATAAAACTTGAGAAAAACCTACAGAAATGAGCAAATGTAATCAATGCGAAGAATGGAGGTCACTCTTTATCAATGCGTAAAATTGATTATCGCTATTTTGGAGATCAGAAGTACACCTCCAAGTATACTTCTGCTGAGATTCAAATTTGTGAATTCAACCAGAGATACAGAGTTGTAAATTCTTAACTCTCAGTGACCGGCTTAAAAATCGCTCGCTACTCTGCTATCTTTAGCCGATAATTTTTTTACCTCATTGGTCACCAGAACTGCAAGTGGAAACTTGTCCAATTATTGAAATACCATCGAGCAGCAGTCAATTCCGATTTTTGAGCAAAATTGAATGCATGATTTGCCAGGAACAGGTTTAGATGTGTGAGTCGATCCCAAGTTCAGAATTGGCTCGAAGGTTTGTTGGATCTTCGTGACGCGCTTGAGACATATTAACCAAGTAATTTCCAGTCTTGTGCGTAATCTGACGAAACAATAAGGCGTCCACGATACCCTAGATGCCTATTATTTCTTATTTCTACTTTTAAACTCAAAAACAACTCTGCTGAGGCTTACCTCAAACACGAAGATGGCGAGGATGGACAAGCCAACAAAATGAAGCAGATATCGGGACACGTGAGTTTCGTCTAAAGAAGGAACAGAGCCTCTTATTTTCTGTATCGTCTATCCGTCAGTGTGGATGTCATGCCGATCTTAGGGATTGCCCTCGAATACCTCTGGGATTAATTACGTCTTTAGTAACATGGGAATGTCCCGGTTGAATCCCCTTCGACCTAGGCTTCGTGCGAAATCGTAAGTACGCTGAGACTCTCAATGGAAACGAAGGAACCTAGAATTTTATCCAGCTCCGTAGTTAAACATTATTAAAATGATATCTCTAATAATTTTTGGATCAATATCAGTATCTGGGCAACTGCCCACCTACCCCTCCCCTAACCCAACATTAACCTTAACTTGTTGTCAATTGACTGTTGTTGAGTTTGGGGAGGGGTAGGTGGCCAGTTGCCCAGATACTGATATTGATCCAATTTTTGTGTGTAAACTGATAAGCTCAGAAAAAAATTTCTACAACTTTCGTAGGTCTCAGCAGAATGACTCACTGATCGAAATTAAACTATATAGTTTTCCTAAATGTGGTTAGTTTGTTAACTGCTCGAGTTAAGCTCGAATAAGACAGTTTATATGTAATTCTTGTAATTGGACTATGTTTTAAGAAGTCATTTTTGAGCGTCATTTTCTTCGACAGGCTAATTTTTTGGTAAAGAAAAACTTAGTTGTTTTTCAAATCTTGCCAAAGTTTAGTTTAACCGGACTTAGTGTCGTCCAATGAATAAAGGGGGTAAGTTTCTCAAGAAATTGTGGTGCTGCGTCGGTGGGAGAGTATAACAGGGGAATTAAGTATTATCGACTGACTTGTTAACGTAAATTGATCACCGTAAAGAGTTTCAAGGCTGACGTTTCGAGAAGGGCTACGCTCGCTCTGACGAAGGGCTAGCGCTCGAAACGTGAGCCTTGAAACTCTTTACGGTGGCTCATTTACTTTATCAACTCAGTTGATAATACTTAATTACTTTGTGTCGTCCAATTCTGTTTGTAATCATACGCGTGATTATAAATCAAGCCTCCGCCTTTGCTGTCGTTAAATCTCAAGCAAGGATATGATCCTTGCAGGTCGTCTGTTATTCTTCCTTTCATTTATGGATTCAAATAGGACTCCATACAGTCCTATTACGATCATAAATAGAACATTTATTACCTTTGATAACATTAAATTCCATCAGCATGAGGACGAGGTTGATGATCACTTCAATCAAGACCAGGACGACTATACTGACTTGCCACGTGACCCCTGTCAACATTACAGCCAATGAGTGACGAAGGACACTTGAAAAGGGACAACAAATAAAAATGAAAAGCGCATTCATTTTATAATCCAAGTGCTAAACACGACGCACTTAACTTTAAAGATACAGTTTTGATTTGCAGCATGCCTTTATTGCATGAAAGACATAAAAAGGAGGCTCATTGTTCTCCGCCTGCCTCGTCTAGCTTTTGCTATTTGCGGGTGGAGATGGCAAAATGATTTGCATGAAATAAAGTATAGTGTGTAGTATTCAGGCTACAGAATTTCTCTTGTTGAACCGTGACATATGGGGGGGGGGGGAGATTTTGTAAATTTTATGCTCGATGCTCTGACTGTAGTATTTTATCCCAAATTATGCCGGAATAATTAATCTGTCCTTGTCGAGAATCGACTGAGATAGAAACTTTGCTCGAACGTAGGAAAAAAAAACAAAAATTCCGGTTATTCAAGATATCGTGATGTTTTTAGCTTCTTGAAGATAAGGCTTTTAGCGATTTACTGGCGTCCGGATGTTGTAATGAAGCTCATCAGTCATTAGCTTATGGGCTAAATTTTGCATAAAATATATTTGGTGTTTTTTTGCTTTTTTTTTACCCCGTAACCTTGAAACAAAGAGTCTATGGTCGTTCAAACCATTTACTAAAAAACTAGAAACAAAAAAGAGTGTGCAACAGCTCCTCAATTTGAAGCATGATACTGAAACTATACTGCATGGATTAAAATAGCTTTCGTCTGTTTACTCATTCACTTTAGCAGAATTGACGCTGTGAGGCCACATTGTCTGTATATGAAAGCAGAATACATTTGAGCTTCTTATTTTTCATTCACTTCAAAATGAGCCATTTACATGTTTAGTAGATAAATATTCAGTTTACCTGCAGCATTCCTCGCAGCTGCCCTGCTCGTATGTTTCCGTCAGTCTCCTTCGCCATAACTGCATGTATGTTTTCCTGCCATCTTCTTTGTCCGTTTGAGAAAGTTCAGAACTGTACATAAATCAAAAGGTTTAAGATATTTTTGGCTATTTCAGAGATTGTTCACCAATAAAATTTAACACCTGTCCACTGAAAAACCGACGCTTTTCACTTCGAAATATATTGGGCAATCATTTGATTTTGCAAGAGACTTCAGACACCATTCTCTTCGTTTAGATATAAGCTTGGATCAGATTGTGAAGTTCATGAAGTCTTTTTAACTTGCAAGCTCATACATGGGGTTATGAGCATCTTTTAAAAAGTGTCCACCATGCAGAAAAAATGGAAAAAAATATATGCGCGTACTAAAAAATAAATTTAAACATCACTTCGTAACAATGATGTGGCTTCAGTAAGATTCACTAGGTCAGGCTCGAATTTTTTAAAACTTTTTTCCTTATTCATCCCCTGCCAGTTACCATACATTTTGCCAAACTTGTAGAATTATGCGAAGCCTTTGTGAAACATTCATTCGGCGAGGCCTTATCGTTCTCAAAGTTTGACAACCCGAATGTTTACAGTATTGTCGCAGGATGTATTGTTAGCATGTTTGGATATTCAATGCAGTCGCTCAACTATGCGAATTCGTTAAAAATTGTACGAAACATTAATTCGGGAAAGTATTATCGTTTTTTAAGTTCAACATCGAGAATGTTTATAATATTGTCAGCATGTCTTTGGATACCCAATGCGGTTGCTCATCTATGCGGCGAATTCGTTGGCATGAATACAAAGTTAAAACACACAGAAATATAAAAGTGCAACTGTGTGGCGTTTTTTAAGACTTTAAAAACGAAATTTCAAAAATGCTAATTCCTTTTCACCTCTCATCCATCAGGCCCAGGTGTTTTTCCTCAAAAATAAACTTGTTTCTTCACAGAGCTCTCGAAATTCCCTCCATCTGCTCGCCCGCTTTTTGAACAAGTCACACAGCCTTCTCAAGGATTCACACGATATTCGAAAAAGGAACAGCTTGATCTCTATCGCCTGCCTACGCGAGAGGCTCAATGAAAACCATAAAAACAACCAACTCGAGAAAGAAAATGATTCACCCTTCAAAACATCAACGAAACAAAGAAACTTTAAAATTAGCATACGCAAATGAAGCTCATCAGATATGGCTGGCACGTTTGGTTCCTGTTAATAAAATCAACATCTTGCATATGGTTTTCATTCGCCATATAAATCGTTTTTCACTCTACCCTCTTTTATTTCTTTTCTCCATGGCATCGCCATAATAAATTTTAATCATTGAGGGCAATATTGCAAACAAGTCATTTTTTAAACTTTTATTTCCAATCGTCTGCAAGCATGATTTCTTGGTTAAAACTCTGTATTTCTCAAATTACAGTGTCTATCAGCGATTTGTTGGCTTAAATACATTTTTCTATTGAGATATATAATTCCTGATATCTTTTACAATTTTTCACTGAAATTTTTTGGCGTCTAAGCAAACTTTACCATCTTTTAAAAAATTTAATTCACTTTTTGTTGTTGCATGAATAACGCTCTGTAAAATAATTTTCATGCCCGACTTTCTTCGACGTTGTTCTACGCTTTCAGGTAAACCAAGTGGCCTGTTTTAATTTAGAAACAACCTTTATATGCTAATTGGTGACTTATATCAAGAGTTCTCAGCTGGCAGCCAGTCTTAGCATCGCCAACTACCTCACACGCTCAACAAAAACGAACAAATTAATCGTAAAGATTTAAGTGATGTTTGTAAACTTTTCTGTTTAATAGCCGGTGCAAGCTATACCCAAATGGAAAATCGAAGAACCTGTCAGCTTCTGGGCACATTTCTACAAAATCAGCTGCCTCACGAAAAGAATAATCCAAAATTGCGATGAAGGTTTTTAAAAGAAGAAGAGAGACTTTCCTTTCATACCAATCGCTATAGGTGTTGGATTGCGCCTGCATTAGCCATTTAACGCGGAGTATGAAGTAGTCCCAGGCCACTGCGGGTTTATAACATAAACATAGCCGAAGTGAAAGTAAGAGCTGTACGTCAAGAGTATCTTGTGAATGTTCCTTAGTGTTTCTCGACAAGAGAAAATAATGTCAAGAACTTCGACATGGACGGGACACCTGTTCGTCGCCTGAGCTTTACTGACGTTTTAAATGTGTCTGTGTTCAGTGGAGCATGCATCTTTATTGCGTTGCTCGCCTACAAGCGATTTACAGAACATCCCTTGAACAGCCGCCTCAGAAAGGCTTATAAAGTCGATGAATTCATTCAAAAGCAACTGGCATCGCATCTTTACCGAGAGGATCTCGACTTACTTCCATCTGTGATGGGAAAAGATGACGATTTATATTCAATCGAGAAATGTGGTAGCGTTATGGAGGGCTATGGCTTCTTCTCAGTGGATGTGACAGGAAGCGAACAAGACATCGATGTAATGGTTTCACCAAAGATTCTGAGTGTTAGCGAAGACGACATTGACGTTAGCCGTACTCCTGTTGGGTTTGTGTGGGTGCAAATGCAAGAAATGGTACAACGGATAAAAAACTCGCGATCAGAATTATTCCAAGTTTTGAAGAAAGCAAATCAGCAATTTGTAAGTGCAAGTGCAATTTACAGTCATTTCCTTCGAGCCACGCAAGAGAATTTTAACGATGGCGACTTCGACGTCATACAGAATGAACCGGCTATAACACTGAGAGCAAAAGAAATTCATGCACAAAGGTATGGTTACATGGGAGTCATTGATGTTGCTGTCGCCTTGAGTTTCTCTGGTTGGCCTCGGAGCGCAGTAGAATGGCTGAATCGAGAAAGCAGAGATTTCCGGCTTCTAAGCACTGGAATGATACAAAAAATTGCTAAAGGTGGCTGTCATTTGGTATACAAGCCATCAGGTTCCTCTGAAAATTCCCAGTTAGATTGGAGGTTTTCATTCTCTAAAGCTGAGAGAATATTGTTCCAGTATCATAGTGACAAACACGCTTTGAAACTGTGTTACATCATGTTGAGGTATGCTTACAAGAAACATCTGAAACCAAGACTGGGAAACAAAAAGATTTTAGCGTCGTACTATTTAAAGACAATTTTCCTTTGGCTTGCCGAGACAGATAACGGCCTTGATTACCATGACCTCGCCAATCACCGCTTAGGCGCATTGTTTGAACTTATGGTGAACAAACTGAGGGAGGTTTACAGCAAAAAATTCTTGTCCCATTACTTCATTAGTCAGTGGAATCTGTTGCGTGACCTTTCGAAAGCAGAGCTTAATCACGTGCAAGGCCTTCTAGATGATCTTTCACGAAATAAAAAGGAGTATATCAGTTACATTCAAGACATAAGAGGGCATATTTTACCCTTAGCCAAGCAATCTGGAGGAGCTTATAATGAGCTTCTCACAATTATTGACGAATCTACTACGAGACATACTCTTTTGCAAGCTTTTTATATTTCGAGTTTCGTCTTTGCAACACTCGTATTTTTCAAGTGCGTTCTGAATGCTCTCTCCCTAGACATAGCACTGTGTTCAGTATAAGTATTTTTCAAGAGGAGTGTCTTACTTTATCTTACCCAAGTGGATATAAATACCTTTGTTTGCACTGTACAAAAGTATCAGAAACATGTAGAGAAAAGATACACTTCAATGAACCTTTAAGAATTACAAGCATCTAATTTTTTTCCTACGATATCCCTGCTAAATCAAACATTAAGGTAATAAATGAAGGAGATTATCGCTAATAAAAGAAGCACTTGATTGCTAAACAAAGGCTCCATGTTTCAGTATCATGTATAAAAACTGCATGGATAATATACATACTAATGTCAGGGTGTAGAGGGTTAAATTATTACTCTATGCCCTCAACGTGAACATATAACGTAACACTAAGCCTTTTGTTAAAAGTGGTGATTAAGGTCCAGTAAAAAAACAAACCAAATAGTTCTTGCTACAATGATCCAGGTTACGCGAAATTTGTTCTTGCAGTTCTATTGGCAAGGTATTATAACATGGTTGACCAAAGTCAGTTAGTGCCGGTTCTTTATGCAAATTTTGTAAGATTCGGGAACAAGCACGACTCCCACGATACCAGAAAGCTCGGGAAGCTGTGCCTCTGGTGCTGGCTCGAACTTGAACTGATGCAGAAGCCTGGACGCAACTAGAAACAGCTCTATCTTGGCCAGCGACTCGCCTAAACACACTCTTCTTCCGGCGCTGAAAGGCAGGTAACTTCGATAACCATTGGGGCCTGAAACCGAGAAGTTTCCTTCAATATCAAGAAACCGTTCGGGTTTAAACACGTCCGGATCTTCCCATTCCTTTGGATCGTGATGAATCGCCCATAGATTTGTCATCATCATTGTATCCTTGGGGATGTCATATCCCCCCAGGGAACTCTTCCGTGTTGACTTGTGAGGGATCGATAAGGGGGTGGTGGTTGCAATACGCAGCACTTCTGCCACGGTACTTTCCAAATAAGGAAGACGACCTCGATCTTCGAGTCGCGGTTTTCGATCACGACCAATGATATCATCCAATTCTGCATGGACGCGCGATTGGATATCTGGGTAATTAACCATGTAAGCTAGTAACCATAGCAACGTCGCTATAGTGGACTGAACGCCAGCGTTGAATACGTCATTTATTATCATTACCAAATGGTCCTCCGTCAGTACCTGCGGAATTTTTTCGTCTTCTTCTTGCGCTTCGTAAAAAGCTTTTAAGAGCGCATCGGTCAAATCTTGGATTTTTATGTCTTTTTTGTTCGCACTTTCTTCAAACTTCTTTTTGTGTTCGTGGTACTTGGTATCTAAGACTGCGTCTCTTAATTCTTTTGCCTCTCTAAGGATTCGACTTTCTTCAATTGGAAAAAACCGCAGCCATGGAAGCATTTCGAGAATGTTAAAACCTTTGAAAAGGCGAATGAAGTGATCGTTATACTTTATAATTCGCTGGAATTCATCGTCGTCGAGAGCATAACTTTCTCCATAAGTAACAGCGCAAATCACGTTTAAAACCATTAGGCTGATGTCATCTTTGGGATCGATCGCATTTCCTTGATGAGCGGAGAGTCGATCTAACAGTCGTCCTGCTTCATCGCAGATCCTCACCTCTAGCTGTTTGAGACCGCTTCCGTACATGCGTAAAGCAGAATGAACCAGCTTCCGTTGCAAAATCATGGTTTTTGAGAAATCCGCAAAGAAAATGTCCTTAGCTTCTCGTGTGAGAAAATCTCCGATGAATGTTCGAGGCCTCCCAGCGAAATCATCCTTCTTGACCAGCAAGGCCTCACGGGCTAGGTCTACGGAATTTATTAGGATACACCGCTGACCTCCCGGTAAGTATAGCGTGAGGATCTTCCCATATTCCTTTGCGAGGTCAGTCACGGCCAAGTGAATCGGTTTTCCTACCAACTGAGTCAAATTGCCTATCACAGGGTACGGACGGGGACCCGGGGGAAGATTTTTGGGCGTCGCAGGGGCAAGAAAGAACCACCACCCCAATGAGAGGAGAAAAATGGAGATAACGGCTTCCAAGATCATGTTGGAACTGCAAGACAAATGAGAACAAAAGCATACAATAGTGAAGAAAGATCTACTTGAGTTTTGTTGGGACTAACATACAACAGAGTAAGTATGCATTGGTACAAGCGCGCGCGTAGGACCTGACTTTTTCTTTTACAGTCTCGGTTTACCTTTTCTATTCGCAGCTATTATCGTTCCTTTATTTTAAGTATAAAATGTTATCGTTTAATGTTTTTTACTCAGCCAGCTATGAACTGGAGGGTTTCTTCTGCAATGCAGCATGTGATAATTCGTACAAAGGCCAAAGTTTCGTTCAAACATTTTATTTCATAGATCGTCAAAAAACATATACCAGAACAAAAGGCGTGGCTAAGGCTGTCAATCAAATTTGAAACGAAACGATCAAATGACATGATAGCATAATACCGTAACGCATGGTATCCGTCACACAATACAAAATTAGAATGAACACGTTCGTGTCAGACTCATTCCAGGGTCCTATTAAATTCTTTTTTCATTAAATCGATCGCATAAGTTCCTGTTTGCGCATTGTTTGATTATCTGATGCGTTCAATGCTTTA